CTGTTTATCCATGCTTGTAGGCAGAGGCTAGGAAGATTAAAAGACTGTCATTCAGCTAGTGAGAGAGTTATTAAAACAATGCCTGTTTTTTTTTTTAAGAACTGAAAGAGGATTAATAAACACTAACATATTTGTGCATTTGCTTGCTGGATGATGATGAATGCATACAGTGCTATCCTTGCTTGATGATTTGTTGCATGGGACTTGCCGGCATGTTAGTGTGGGTGGACTGTTCTTATTAAGAGGCAGGTTCTTGTCTTAAGTTTTTGTGCTCTTCCATGTACCTTCAGATATTAAGTGAGCTTACTATACATTCTCGTACTTGCAGATTTTTTGTACAAAATTCCTTTAAATCTGTAAGTAGTTCAGGCAGCCAGTAACTTCATAATTAATCCATTAGTGTCATCATCATTGTTATTGTTGCAGCTCAGTTTTAGCCTTGGCATTCTTATGTGGTATAGAGAGTTTCTAAATTATTTTCATACACATTGTAGGATGCCTTGGATGTCAGATTAGGCCAACATAGTAAAGGCTCCTACATTCACACACACACAAAATTTGTTCCCTCATTGTGGATATCCCAGATATCAGGGTGGTTTAATTATCTCAAATGGAACAGATAACCTGTATTTGGAAATTTGTTAACTAGGCTTAACTAGGTCTGCAGTGAAACGTCCATTTAAGGTGTCTTTAGGGAGTAGTAGGTTTGAAAACTAAATTGATGAAAGTTTTAAATTATTGCCTTGGGATCATTGAAATTGAATGTCAAATGAAAGAAAACCTGAAACTGAAAAATATTATTTGTGGATTCCATTGTAGTTTCATTTCAGACACTACATTCACATGGCATTATGAAGGAACTAAATTGGCAAACTATAAAATTACAAATCCAATGTCTGGTTGCTAAACCTGCTTGCAGACTTTGTATTAACCCTGCTTATACATATTATTGATATTGTTTCCTTAAAATAGAGCTTGACTGAATGAGCTTAAAATGCTTCTGCAATCTGTGATCGGAAGATGGCAACTGAAAGGTAGGACAGCTACTCATAACATCTGCTTAACAAATTCTCTTATAATTTTTTGATTGAAAGAAAAACTGTCTGCTTGGAGAATATGTTTCAACCATGTAATTAATTGTAAATTACTTGCACAAACTAACACTCCTTTGTGTTTTCTTTCCAGTGTTTTGTTAAGCAGAAGTTATAATGCATTTAATCTTTTTTTCTTATTGGATCTTGTACATTCAGTAGATATGATGCCTCAGCCTCTGCTTGATAGGGTAAGGGACGAAAGTTGTTACAATGAATAGCTGGATGATAAGAAAGTAAAGCAGTATTTTCTAAACTGTGGCATGTGAACCCCTTGGAGGTATGTGAATTTTTTCTAGAAGGTTTACTGGGATAACTATAATAACTGAATTTTTTGTATCAGTATTATTTTACAACGAATTCACAAAAGTCAGATGCAGGCAATACTTGTACTTTCATGTGTCTTGTAGAAATTATATAATTTTGTATAGGTGATCCAGTTTCTTGGTAGTAACATATGGCTACACTGACTTGTTTTTCTTTCCGAAAGGAAGTGATCTGTGAAATTATGTATAAACCTTCAGTTGCTTGCTTCAGTGAGTTACTGAAAGATGAAATGTGTGACATATAATGAGAAATTATTGGTTAAAAAGCTTTTAGGGCAGTGATCTGCTTATTATGATTTTGAAATTGGTGATCAAGACAAGAGACACAGACTCAGCCTGTTTTTCTGAAGGAAATGTAAAAGCAAAATGAAACATACTGGGCATATGTTTGACATCATCATAATAGTAGTGTCACATTTTGATCCAAAAATGTTCGATGATTTTAGTATGTTTGCCAAATAAACATATATTTAATTTGTATGTTACTGCAGGTCTGAGTGGCACATTTATTTAACATTTGTTTTCTTGTTACATTGTTTTTATGTTTCTGTTATTTGTATTTGACCACCTTTGTGGTCTAGTGGTCAGAGTTCTTGGCTACGGGTCCAGAGGTCCTTGGTTCGATTCCTTGCGCTACCAGATTTTTTAAGAAATGGTGGGTCTGGAACAGGATCCACTCAGCCTTGTGAGGATAATTGAGGAGCTGTTTGAATGGAAAAGTAGTGGCTCCAGTCCAGAAAACCGAAAATTAATGGTCGTGTGTATTCATTGTGCTGCCCACGTGACACACCCATCTGCTGAACTTTGGCACTGACTTCGCTGACAAGCAGCAGTTGCTCAGTCTGTATATATCGCTTGCAGATTAAAGCCACAGAGTTTTTGTTTTTTTGTTGTTTTTATTTAATTAAAGTATAAAAATTCATCTTAAACTTGAAATCTGGTAAAAGATATGAAAAACATCACATATTTGGAACTAAGAAGGGTGACTAACTGAGAATACAGAATATTACATAATTATTTCATTTGTGGTGTATAACAGGCCATCCATTTTTGTGGTTGTTGAATTAAGGTGGTTATAATGGGCTATACTTGCATCTAGAATGGGAGAAGCAAGTAGCGAATACAGAATTCTGTTGGGAAACCTTTTGGATTTTAATCAGTTGGAGGCACAGGAACTATATAGAAGTACATTTTAGGAAAATACCTAGGTAAGTCAATAAGTAAGTTACAAATGGATATAGAACTTAAACAAATAAGAGTACTGATTTGAAAAATGCTTTTATTTTGCAACATAATCTCCCTGTACATTGAGGCACTTGTCCCATTGTTTCACAGGCCCCAGAAAATCAGCAGCATAAAATTCTTTTGGCTGCTATCGGAATCAGGTGGTGACTTCAGTTTTTACAGCTTCATCGTTGGGAAAATGCTCAGCTGAAAGATGATGATTAAGAGGGCCAAACAAATGGAAGTCGCATGACGGGTTAGGTTTTCACAAAGTCTGTGCACGATGGGTGCCGCGCATGCTGACCCCACAACACAAAATGCAAAGAATGGGTCTGGCATTACAGCATCTCAGTCGCTACCATGGTGAAGGACATGATATGCTAGCCCGAATTGTCACAGGTGATGAGTCTTGCTCCAAGCAACTTCCATTTGTTTGGCCCCCTTAAACATCATCTTTTGGCTGAACATTTTCCCGACAATGAAGGTGTAGAAGGGGAAGTCACCGCCTGGTTCTGACAGCAGCCCAAAGAATTTTATACTGTTGGTTTTCAGGGGCTTGTGAAACGATGGGACAAGTGCCTCAGTGTACAGGGAGATTATGTTTAGAAATAAAAGCATTTTTCAAATCAGTACTCTTGTTTGTTTAAGTTCTACATCCATTTGTACCTTACTTATTGACTTACCCTCATACATTTTAAGGATGTAAATTAAACTGATCTGTCTTTCAGTTGTATGTTACATTAGCAGCATTGAACATTAAAATTATAGTAGCACTAGGTTGGTTGTAAGTAAGTAATGGATTATTCACTTACTCCTTTAGTAAGTCACCTAATTCGGTTATTTGTTGTTTTTTGTGTGCAGCCACTGGTCTGTTACTTAATTTGTACCAACTCTATCTTATCCAGAGAATTTCCTGTTTTGCTAGTAGTTAACTATTTTTCTTCCCTGTTAATGACTAAAGATTTGTAACTGATGTTGAGAACATTGTGTTTGGCAGGTTTACTATGGTTACTTCTCCTTGCATTATATATCAATTGGACATTTCTGAGAACTTAGGTTCTTTCATATCCCTTTGTGCATAATTTTCAATCATGTATTTTCACCTGCGATATCTCTTCAGTTACAATAAGGGCATGCAGTAGCATAGTTGGTTGATGCACTATGCTACATGCTGGAAGGTTATGGGTTCAATTCCTGATGAGGTCATTGGATTTTTCAGATGACCTAATCCTTCCAACCACACAATACCCCTGGAGTCAACTAATCCTTTAACAGAAATGAGTACCAGTAATATTCCTGGGGGTAAAGGGTGGGCAGCCTGTGTGTGAGGCTGACAGCTTCACTGCCATCTGTGAGCTGATTGTCTAGAAAATGTAGGATCCTTGATACACAGATATATTGGGTTTTCGGACTTTATCCATCATCCTGATTTTAAGGTAACTAAGAAAAACACGGAAACAGATCCAGTTTCCAAAACGTTGTGTTTTTCTTAGTTATCTTAAAACCAGGATGATGGATAAAGTCAGAAAACAAATATATCTCTGTGTTATACACCATCATCAGAATCCTATAGTAACTACTTGGATCCTTGATGTCTCACCACCCTATGAGCCTCCATGGGCCTGTTATAAGGATAGCTTTAACTTACTGTACCTTCATTTTTAACATCATGTAAAGCCAGTAAATAGACATATTTAGGTTCACTAGTATTGATTAGATCTATAGAGTGTTTATTATTTGTACAGTTCAGTGGCTGACAGAATATTCCTGTTTTATGGACTGCGAATTGGAGAATGTTGAGAGACATTTAGTTCAGCTGGTGAATTACTGTATTAATTGTGCTGATTAAAATGGAGAGGTCATTGTCAGGCAATATGGAGACCACTACTTCCAGCGAATTCATTAGTTTTACATTTGAAAAAGAAAAGTCTTTGAAAGTTTGAGATAAATACATTATTGCAGAATTTCCACTTCTTGTGGCTATATGTTGCTTGATAATGCCATAATTTAACACTTAACTTATATGAGTTACTTGTAGAGGCTACAAAAGAATTTTATCCCACTGAATCATTTTTAATTGGATATTTGTATTTATCAGAAAACCTCCATGAGTATTTTCATGAGTTGAATCTCTTAGAGATATTATTTGGTTATGTTGTTGCTGCTGTCTTTTTATATGTATAATGTTGATTGTCTCCGACCTCTTGTAATGAAGTATGAGCCTGTGCCATGTAGTAGTTATGCATATGAGACATTTAAAACAAATGTAAGTCATCATCTGTGTATAATATTGGGCTGAATTCATGTATGAGACTGTTGTCATCAATTTCTGTTTGTTACTTTCAATTGTATCTTGCAGGAGGTGACACTTGTGAAGGAGGGTGGCTCGTTAGGATTCAGTATTATTGGAGGAATAGACCACTCATGTATGCCTTTTGGAGCAAGTGAACCAGGCATTTTCATATCACATGTAAGTACTCTAGGTTTTGGAGAGTTAGGAATGTTATATCTTTATTGCCAACTGATTGTTTCCCACTATTAAGACCTTAGGAAATAGGATCTAAAAGTTTGTGATAATGGTACATTAGTACAAATATTATGTTTCTGGACATTATCCATCATCCTGTTTTTATCCAAAAACTCTGTCCTGAAATATAAACAGGACGTTTTTGGATGANCATCCCGGAACTGCGAAAGGGTTCAGTTCCCGTTGGTTGGAGTGGGTGTGAGGTATCGCCTCTGCTTTGATGTAGCGACAAGTACCGACACACGTGAACCAAAACATTGGAGTCCTTTGCATTGTACGGTTACAACATGATGAATATCAGAAACATGATATTTGTATTAAGATCTTAGGATGACAGGAAATATATAGTTCTTGTTTTATTATGCTTCGGCTTAGTGAAATAAACGTTGATTAGTGTCAGCTAAATTTATATTAATATTGTTGCATTATAGATGGAAAATTGCAAGTGATAATTCTTGTTTGTTGGATAAGTAACAGCAGTCACCACATGCAGTGAAACTTCACATTAGTAGGAATATTTTCATGAACATTTCTCATTATCCCAGTTGCAGTTCTGTAAAGTATGTAACCTTATTAAGGATTAGAGTTTTCTGTGTTGTGACCCCATGTAATATGGTAGATACTTAATGACGTTTGGAGGATCTTGCTGCTGTCTTCAGGTCTAGCCTGAGGATGGAAGCATATTGCTACAGAATATTGATAAATGTCTGTGAGACTACATGACATCACAGTAATCATATATCACTGCTGTGACCACTTCAGTTCTCACAACAAAGTGTATTCTTTGGTGCTATATTTGGGTCGTTTATCTTGTATAAAGCCATCTACTTGATGCAGTATTTTACTGTAAGGTTATCAGGCTACTGCTTATGCTCTTTGTAAAGTACTAATGGGTTTGATACACATTTTAGTTCCTGTATGGTAAGAAAAAAGCGAAACTGTCCCGGTAACAGGCCATGAAGGCCCACAGGGGTGTGAGAGGTTGACACTCCCACATTTTCTAGGTAATTGTGAGCAATCCCTCCCCTCTTAACCTAACTAGCAAGGGGAATACACTGTTTTCGTCCCTGGTTCATTTACGTTGTTTCACAATGCCTTTATCCCGAGATAAGAGTGGGGTGTCCAAGCTGTATGCCTTGACTGACGATAGGTAGGAAAATTTCCAGATAACAAGATTAACACGTGTTTAATATAGCAAAAAAAAAAAAAAGCAGTACGATACAATAAAATACAATAGAAATACAGACTCTACCCATGATGCCCAAACTGCGATGTCACGTATTTAGGGGTGGTGGTTTTCTCGCCATCAACACCCAAAAGGAAAAAACACAAGACAAACTTGAATTTCAAAAAAAGGAAGAAATAAAACAAGCTCCAAACAGAATTTCTCTCACCACATTGATGGCGAGCTACTCCCTCTTAGGACAAATTCTCACGAGAAATACGAGCACACTTGTTAACAAGTCAAATACAGCTCGATTTTAATATTGGGGCAATACAAAAAAAGTCAGGCAAGATAAGATAAAATGCCTCAGAAACACGCTCAAATTAGCTACCACTTGTCCCAAAACCAAGGGAGACGCTACCCTTTCCCAGCCAGAAGAAAAAGCAAATTTTGACCAACCAAATCCAAACAGAATTTTGTCACCTCCTTTTGTGACTGCTAGAAACTGAGTGACTCCAAACAGCCACCTCAACCCCAAGGAGGGACGCTACCCTTCCACGGCCCAAAGGAGAAAACCAAATGGAACAGAATTTCACCATCTCCTTTGCCAGCCGTGGAAGGGTAGGTCTGCTACCTCCTTCTATGACTGCTATGAAATGAGTGTCCTTGCTCCTGCTCTCCTTCCTATTCTCAACGTGCTAGAAAAAGCTGAAAGGGGGGGGGGATCACATGGTAGGCATGGAATGGAACAACTTTCTAGAACACTAGAACTTCTGAGGAGAAAAAAAATTGTGGGGGGTAGGAAGAGAAGCCACTGAATGGAGCCATAAGTAGAACTCATGACTCAATTGGTCCATAGATGCCAGTAAGGCTGTGAGCCCTATGTGCCAGCCACTGTTTACCACCCAGGAAAATTCCTTGTAGTCATTTCTGTTAGAGGCTGACTTGACCCCAGGGCCATAGTGCGGCTGAAAGGGTTCGGTCAATTGAAAAATGCAGTGACCTCATTGGGTTTCAATCCTGTGACCTTCCAGCTTGTAGCATAGTGTTTCAACCAACTATGCTACCATGTGCCCCCATAGTTCAGGTATGTGATGATGATAATGTACATACAACATGTGTTGTTTACTAAATACCAGCAATGTGGAGTTATCCTTCATGATGAGTACATTAGTGTTGGCCAAGGTTTCCATCTTCCTTATTTATATCAGACTTTCTGAGTAAATATAGGATTATGCTTTTGTATCTAATTTAGTGATATTGTATTTCATGTATTTGACAAAAAATGTTCTCTCATCTTTATCCATAACTTTTAAGTGTTTATGTAACCAATGTTTTCTGTTTATTTTCTTCTTAAAACTGTTTTTTCCTAATGTTTTATCTGCTACATCTCATATATATATACAGTAAAACTTGGTTATAGCAACATCGGTTTCTGCGACACCTTGTCTGTTGTGTCAAATATTCAATGGTACGAACTAATTCCTCATATAGCAACTGTTTTTATACCTTGCTTAGTACGACATGCACAAATGCATCAACCTCGTATGTAACGTCATTTTCATTCCTGAATTTCTCTGATATCGTGGGAAAGTTCGATGTGTCTGCCCACCCTCACTTTCTCTACTTGCTGACGTGACTGTCCTGGAAGAATACGACCGCAGGCTGCAAGAGGAGCGTGGATTTTATGCGAAAACAAGGGTGTGGGGTGGGATTGCGTGAATAGTGCAAGAGGACGCGGCAGGTTGTTAACTGCATTCCTTTCCTAGAATCTCGTCTAACAGGACCTCACATTGTCTACTTACTCTATAGTGTTCCTGCCTAAACCCAGAGAAGTGCAGTAGCGAAGACATGGCAATGAAAAGGAAAGTTTTAAGCATTGAAGAGAAAGTTAAAGTGATTCGTGAAATAGAAAATGGAAGGAAAAAAGCTGATGTATGCAGCGAATTTGGTTTGGTGAATTCTACAGTACAAACGATATGGAGATTCCACGTTAATGTTACGTTAGTCTGTACTTAACTACGTATTTCACTAAAAAATGCAACATTTTAACCCAGTTTTTGGTAGATTTTTACATGACTAACATAAGGCTACTGTGGAAGTGCCCATTTCGGTTACAGCGACATTCGTTTATAACGACACTATTTTTAGGTCCCTTTGATGACGTTATAACAAAGTTCTATGTGTGTATATATATATATATACACACATAGAAACTCTTGAACCCTGTGCTGTTTCATTTAAGTTCCTGATAATCAGTCTGTTTAAATGCAATATAAGATTTGCGATTTTAAAGATGGTGAAGATTTGTGTTGTGATATGGGTTTTGACACCATTTAGTATAGTAGGTGTGTAACATTGTTCTGGATGAATATACTGCCTACATCTTTGGGTTAGAAGTGATACTGTGATACTACTTCTACCCTGAAGATGGAGACAGTATGTTCCTCCAGAACTGTGGTTCCTGTCTACCTGACTACATGGTGTCAGAATGCAGAAAACCCCACTATGAATATAAATGTCTCTTCCACAGTGTGGCAGGGCGTCCTGTTTATTTATATTTTAGTGTGTGTTAGATGTGACAAAAACTAAGATTTTTTCACTTTACTTCCAAACACACTAGGTGCAAAAGGGTTAATCTATCCCTTTAACAGGCAGTGGAGGCTCCCACATTTTCTAGATAGTTGGCTCACAGCGTTGAGTTTTTCAGCCTTATGTGCTGGCCACCCTTTGCCCCCAGGAAGATTCCTGGTACTCATTTCTGTTCGAGGCTAAGTCAATCCCAGAATCAGTGTGGCTGGAAGGATTAGGTCAATTGAAAAATCTATATTGGGAATGGAAATTCTTTGTTCTAAATATGCAGCTTGTATGGCAGGTGGTTCCAGGTGGAATAGCTGCTCGCTCAGGGAAGTTACGGATGGGGGATCGAATCCTGAAAGTAAATGGTGAGGATGTGACCAAATCAAGTCATCAGGAAGCAGTGCAGAAACTTTTGAAACCTGGAGATGAAATTGTTCTCACCATTCAGCATGATCCCTTACCAGAGGGATATCAGGTTGGTATGATCCCCAGTTGTGCTGTGCATAGTGAATATTGTAACTGAATTGTACACTGCAGTTGCTTAACACACTTAGTGTCGAAAGTAATGGTATGTGAGAGGGAGACTCTGCTTAAGTACATAATGTGTCTACATTAATTTTGTTAGATACAACCAGAAGATTTTGCACTATGGTCATGTTTGTAATTATTGGTTTCATGACATTGTTTCATAACGTAATTTGTAGGTGTGTTTATGACCATTTTTATTAAAAATGTTGAATCTCTAACTTTATTGGTCCATTAGTTATCATTATGAAACTGAAGACTGAACAAAAATTTTTGCATTGTTCTGTGGTTGTTTTACATTGTGTAATAGAAGTGCCTTAAAAATTGTACTATTTATTGTTGTATGTAATTTCAGAATCCTATATTAATTGACATTAGCATCTCTCCTGCCTTGCAAGTTAATGTCAGCTGCTCTTACTGATTATAGAAAATTAAAAAGTAAAATGCTGTAATGATATAACCTTTAAAACAGAATTATATTGAAGTAGATCGGTATTTTCGAAGTGACAGGGTGGGGGAAGGACATAAATTATTTATTGTCAGTAATTCAATAAATGTATATCAGCATATTTCAAGTTTCTGTAGCAGATTGTATTAATATTAGGACTCCTACCAGTGTCATTGGTTAGTATGAGGCTTACACAGACATTTTGACTTTTTGATGTTCTGATTTTTATATTTTACTCTGCAGCAAACTATCAAGAAAACAAGTGACCATTGTTTAATTGTAATTTATTGATTTTTTTTTAAAACACAAATGCACGGTTCAAAGTCAATTTTAGGTATGAAGAAAACAGTCTTCTAAGATGTGGCGCCGTGTAGGTATTGTGTTAACCGACATTTCGGATGAACGTATCGGCTCCATCTTCAGGGTAGAAGAGAAAAGAAGAAACCCCACAAGCGAGAAACAGGCGCAAGCAAGTGCTCACAGAGTAATGTCGAGTCGAACTGTACAAGAGCAGGAAGAGAAAGGAGGAGAGGGGTGACATGGGAAATCAGTAGAGAGGAGAGGGGAAGGGACTGGGGAGGTAGGCCAGCAGGTAGCAGGCCAGAGCAGGTATAGAAATCGTGTCAGGCCGAGAAAGGCAAGGTTAATAGGAGGGAATTAACCCCAAAGTTTAGGGGCCGCGATGCGAATCGGGCATGGACCTGCGTGGCCTTGTTCATCTGGTGTCATGTCCCAGAGGTTTTTTGAGGGAACAGATGAGAGGCTTCCATGACTTGCTGAGACAAATCCCCCCCCCTCTGTTCATATTGTCAGGATGGAGTTCAATCTCGATGGCCTCCCTAATGATGCGATCCATATAACAGGTCTTGGTGGTGAGGATGGAGGTATTTTGAAGCTGAATGTGGTGTCCCAAATCAATGCTGTGTTCAGCCACAGCTTCTCACCCCGACACGTTTTCTATACCTGCTTGGGCATGCTACGTGCTGGCCCACCTCCCCAGACCCTTCCCCTCTCTGATTTCCCATTTAGCCACGCTCCCCCCTTCTCTTCCTGCTCTTATACAGTTCGACTTGACATTACTCTGTGAACACTTGCCCACGCCGGTTCCTCACTTGCAGAGTTTCTTCTTTTTTCTTCTACCCTGGAGATGGAGGCGATATGTTCCTCTGAAACGTTGGTTAACACAATATCTAACGACAGCGCTATGATTCTGCCACGTACCACTGGGGGGGGAGGGGTCCTCTGTTGCGCAACATGTCACAATATATTGCCATTTTGTGGTATTTTAGGCTCTCTAAGAGATGTGTTTTACTGCATTGAGTGAGTTGTCGGATAGTGGAGAATGTGTGGTATGAAAGCAGCCAAGAGGGCATGTTTATTTAAGGGTTCTAGCTTCTTGGACATAACGCCATGTAGTCCATTGAATGTCAGCTGATGTTTCATAGGAACATGTTGCCTCCATCTTCAAGGTCCACAAATGGGTCAAGTAAAAAAACCAGAATGAAGCAGAGCAAGCAGAGAGGGCTGCATGGTGGTATATCGTAGAACAGGCATGTCCAACTTCAAACAGGTTGTGATCGACTTTTTAGTGTCAAAACTGCTAGTGATCTACCACCCCCTCCTATTGTTGTACCTTGCTTTAAGCAGAAATATTGGTAAAAATAACACCACATGATTTTTGTTGTAAAAGCAACATACATTGAAAGTGCAAACTTACCTTGTTTGTTAAGAATAGAAAAGTAGGAATGACTAATACATATTTTCCCTTCAAAATCTGAATATAGTCATATTATATTACAAGTGGATTTACATGCTTTTCATGTATAATTTCCTTATAGGCTAGTAGCTCGACCAAAAATCGTCCTGCAATCGACCGGTTGATCGCAATTGACGCGTTGGACATGCCTGTCCTAGAAGATTAGAACGGTTCATAGCCCTTCATAACCACTGCTGTGAGAACCTCAAATTTCAGGTGTATTTATTTCTGTTGTTTGTAACATTATTTACAAACAGGATGCACCTTGGTTTATATGTGACTCCATTTGGTCATCTGAAGGTCAAGTATCTTCTATTATAGTGTGAAACATAAACAGTAATTAAATTTATGTTGTTGTTACAAGCTGGTCGAGGTTGAATATATACCTGTCACAGTAAGTATTTTTTTCTGAAGTACCTATATACAGTATTGCCTTTTAGACTGTTGAATAGAATGGTGAGGAGAATGGAATTATCTTCCTGTTTACTTATAATATGCTAAAGCGGCCTCCGTAGTCTAGAGGTAACGTTCCCACCTCATGACTCATAGTACGTGGGTTCAAATACCCGGCAGAGGTCATCGAATTTTTAAGGGCGGAAAAATTCAGGGAACAAGTCCTCCGGGAGGGACTTTAAGCCGTGGGTCCCGTGTCGTAGCTTTACGGCACGTAAAAGAACCTCATGTCTCCAAAGGAGGTCACTGAGCCAAAATTGCGGACGTTTGCCGCCCAACAGCAGTCTCTAATACCTCCGGTAGATGGGGGAAGCATTATAGATACTTCTCAGCCAGTAGAGCCGGTCTCGCTGGCTGGACGGGACTGATGGTAAGCACCAATACCAGTAGGATATAGAGGCTGGTAGAAATCATAGAGGGAAGCACAATGGACCACTACAGGTCTAAGTGCATGGGGAAACCCACCCTCACTAATAACTAACTAACTAACTATAATATGCTAATTCTTACAGTACCAAGATCGATAAAATGACTGAACAAATTTCAGTGTTCTTAATCAGCCCTTACAGCATAATTACATTGGACACCAATCGCTATGTGAGGTGTTTTCATAGATATGGCATTTTGTGGTTTGGATCTGCTCCCATCCTTGTATGATTGGTTGTCATAGTAAAAGATAATTACCATTCAGGTTTAATTATCATGCAGTTTCAGGTTCTTTCTTGAATGTTGCTGCTAGTGATGAAAATAAAAACAGCAGGAAGACTATATCAGTCACAGCTAAGTCACATGAAGACTGGAGTAGAGTCACCTCCTAAAATATCTTGTGTATTAAATATACCTCTCACAGTGCAAACCTGGTTTAGACCCCTTTCAGTGCTTGCCCTCAAGAACAAATGTTTATGCAAAACAGCAGATGCTCACTTTAGCTATTTACTGACTACCAGTTGTATTGAATTTCTTAAATTAGGTGCAAATGTGACTTCTCATACTGAGAGATAAGCTCACCTTTAATGTATGGCATTATTTCTTGCCACAGGAGTTGAGAATAGTGAAGGCAGAAGGGGAGAAACTGGGGATGCATATCAAGGGTGGACTGAGAGGTCATCGTGGTAATCCACTGGATCGTACTGATGAAGGTGTTTTCATTTCCAAAATCAACTCTGGTGGGGCTGCAAAGCGGGATGGCAGACTTAAGGTAGGAATTATAGAAATGCTTAAAGTAAATAAATAAGTATTTCATTTGTCATCATTGTATACTTGCTACTTAAGCCCTTCTTTTCTCTTGTCATAAGTTTTCCTTTCTGGTACTTCATACCTGGTAATTGTTCCAATACACTTTCTTCATCTGTGCGTTTTTCACGTGTTGTGTCTCATTGCATATTGTATATTTTATGCTAGGAAACTAGTTGTCTTGGTCACATGTTTCTTTTCCATTGTTCTCTACTCCCAATACAGTGTCTGTTTTTATTTTCATTTCTGTATCATTTCATATTGGATCTGATTCCACTTAGTCAGTGATAGACATCTCCAAAAATTAATTTTTGCTGGCTTTATTATATTAAGTTGTTATTCTCTTGTTTACTATCCAGCATTCTGCTTCATGTATTTACAAATACGTGTAATATTGCACAGTTTATATGCCCACTTGTTTCTTTTGATTTTTCCATGTTTGCTTAATATTCTGAGCAACATTATGTGTGTGTTGCTTGAGGTTCCTTTTTCTGATATCCTCTTTTCATTATTTACGTTTAGTGTTCATATATCCAATTTTTTTCATATACATACTTCTTGTTACATTCATTCATTCATCAGTAATCTGTCAGACGACAGGTCCACAGTCTCTTCCAAAACAGTTCCTTCACTTAATGCGATCCAGAGCTTTCTCCTTCAAATAAAAATATCCTCTTCTGTCCCCAAAGTCATCCAGCATTTTCTTACGTCTTCTTCCTTGTCTTCTGGTTCGCATACATGGTGGAAAGAGACTATCCAGGAAAAGTGATAATGTGGTAGTTTTTCCATTTGCTTTCAACACCGCAGTACAACAGCCATTCAAACAACTCTGGTCACACCTGTTGCTATACGAACTTGAAGCATCTCGAGCATCACTTGCTCTGTGCTTCAAATCGCTGCTGATGACGATGCTTCCGGCGTCAGTTTCTGGTTTTTGGTGTCTCTCTTCGTGTGATGCCTACCCTTTGACCTGTCCAGCAAGGGAGGCCCTGCCAGTAGCTACCCTACCGCTGGTATGGCTCTCAGGGTCCTTGGCATATGCAAACCCCCTCACCACGATAAGGTGGAGACACCAACGAGGGGGTTTGTTACATATGACTTAAAAAATGTGATTTCATTTCAAATCCTCATAACTTACTTCCATAGGATCCATTTACTATCACTATCCCACCTCCATCTTTCTTTTGCATATAGTTCCTTCTTAGAGATTATTATACCAAAATTGTAATGAATGTCTTGTTTGCTTGTTTGCCTTGTACTTTTCTTAACTGTTTCTAACCTGAATTTCAATACTGCACCAGCACCGGGTGACAGATGTATTACAAAGTTTCTGATTGTGTGATGTTCCAAATGTAGTGTTTTAAAACAAGTTTGGTACATTGCAGGTTGGGATGAGGCTTTTGGAAGTCAATGGTGTTTCCCTGTTGGGAGCCTCACACCAAGAAGCAGTGAATGTGCTCAGAAATTCTGGGAATGAGATAATGCTGGTGGTGTGCAAAGGTAAGAGCTTACTGATATTTGATTTATTTGTCAACAGAACACAACACAACTCAACACAAGTGGTATGGAAATATCTTCAATGGAGATAGTAGATATTAATGTACATATTACTTATTTATTACAAATATAGCTATGCTACATATTTTGACCACAATTTGGTCATCATCAGGCCTTAAATGAACATATGTCAAGTAATTAAACAGATGGGTACAATACAGATCCATATTTGTTAACAGATTGCTGTGTTGTAGCAAATATATTCACAATATTTAAAGAGGTAAAAAATGATAAAAAATTAATACAGTGTTAAATGATATATGATATAAATGACAAAAAAAACATAACCATAAAAATTGATATTTAAAATTTCAAGCTAGAAGTTGTGTTAGGTTGCGTGCAATCTTTAGGAGACATATATTGGTAAGCTGAAGGGGGTTGTTGCATTATTTCCCACTGTTTTGTCATGTAGTTTATAAATACAATTTTGTGGGATGCAATCTGTTGGTTGTTTGTTGCATTTCTCTTGGTTATTCAAGTTATGTGCTTTAGAGCATTTATCTCCATTCTTTGTGTTGTGTTTATGGTTATAATACAAATAAATAAAATATTACATACACAACAGGATGCAGCCTATGAAGAGGTTACTGATGCCTGTGAACTGCTGATATCTGAATTTCATTCATATTGTGTGCCCAAGCCATGAATTTGTGTTGTATTACAGGCTATGATAAGGCTGAAGTTGACAGATTGTTGGCAGAAGGAAAGCTTAGCAGAGAATCCAAATCCGTCTCACAAAGCGTGTCTAGTCTTGATCGTGATGATGAAGATACAGCTACACTGAGACAGGCAAGAGATATTACTGCAGTCACATGTTGAGTTAACATAACTTTTTTCATTTGCCATCAATCTGTGTTTGTTATGATGTTTTATCTGTTCTTCAACCTGAAAAGAACCTTTCTTTGAATCATCATCTGGTTTATAAACCTTATAGCCTTGTTAGCATTTCAATGTAAGTACAACCAGCTGTGATTAAATGTTACATAATCGTGTAAGAGTAATTTCATTTTGTATGCAGGAACAGGAAATGAAGCAGGAGTTGGTAGAGTGGGAGAAAGAGGAACAAGAGAGGAGAGAGAAAGAATTGGCAATTCAGCAGGGACAGCAGATTGTGTCTTTAGGTGATGCAGCCCGGGAGAAGTCAACTCCAGAGAGGGTAAGTTTAGTGTACTTAGTAAATTATACAAATTCTGGTATAGTAAACTTGTCTTTCTCTGACATGCAAGGGAAATGGGGTCTGCTGGTTGTCTTATGAAAAATCTTATAGAAACCCAGCACGGAGTTGAAACAACATATTTTCACTTTGGTTCTGCATGGGAGTCTTCCTAGGTAATATAGTGGATTGGTAAGTGAAAGATACTTGTACTGTAACATGAATGCAAACTCCAAAAGCCTCAACTATACTGATACCTTCTTGTGGGATTACAATGGATAGCACTGCTAGTGGCCATTGAGAGAAGCTGCTGCAAGGCAGATGAACATTGTGCATCCCAAACTTGTTTTTAATAATTTTACAAAAATGATAAATTTCCTTTGAAATTTTTGCTGATGGGTGCAGATGCAGGCATGATATTGATTGATTCTCACAATATTTAATGACTCTTTTTAACTTGGAATAGGCCTGTAAGCTATCCCACAGTTTTCTTCTATCCCTTATCTGTGATCCTAATCGGGAAGCTTATATAATTTGTTTGGAGACATTCCTAGCATCAGTGATCTTGTGTAGTTGCATGCTTTAAACAGATAATAATCACATTAATGTTATCATTAGGTGCTGGATGTGGTGAGAGCAGCAGAGCTCTTGGTGAACAAACCTTCCAGTCCAACAGAGTTGATGGTACCGAAGTCTCCAGGTGGTCCCAAGACGGATCTGAAAACGACCACCATTGTGATGAGCAAGCACACTCTTGCTCCCCAGACCAGCACGGTGAGTAGCACTTCATGCATTATTGTTCATCATTGTTCATATGCAAGTTTGTGGTTCCAGTCCTTAACCTGACCGCCTGTGTACAGCAGTTGAATATAATATGTGCTTTGCTACTTTACCTGTTACTGTTGATGTACTCGTATGTGGCCTAATGAACCCTGCTGTGAGGGATTTATATAATGATCACAGGAGTCCTAACATTAAACTGTAAAGGTAAATATAAGGATGAATTAAAAGTTGCCTGTATATTATAATAATAACATTGCATACACAGTGGCTGACTATGCAGCTCTATAACTTTCTCATTGTCAGCCCTGTTTGTAAAAGAGGATATTAAAGAACTTCGAGAAATTGTGGCTTATTTATTTTTGATTATTCCTGTCAGCAGCAATGTGTGATCAGATGTGTTCATTTCATTTTATGAATGTGGGCTAGGTTGTAAGCAGAAGAATAATTTAATGTAGTTAATTTTTCTGAGAACATTTTCTGGATATGCATTTTTCACATTGTTGGATACCACTTCTTGAGCTGTGAATGTTTTATCTATAATAGGGGTGGTAGGAGTTAGCCCATGGCAGAACCTCCAGACTGTGATCATGACAATGAGTACAATGATGAAAAGGTAAAGCTACCCCTGTAACATGCCGTGGAGGTCTGTTGAGTTGTGAGATGCCAAGGCTTCCACATTCCCTAGACAGTTGGCTCGCAGATGGCGATGAGGTTGTCAGCCTTATGTGCTGGCAGGCCACTCTTTACCACCAGGAAGTTTCCTGGTACTCATTTCTGTTAGAAATTGAGTTAGTCCCAGGACCATAGTGCAGCTGGAAGGATTAGGTCAATTGAAAAATCCAATGGCCTCATAGGGAATTGAACCCACATTGTTCTGGCTTGTAGCATAATGTCTGAATTAACTGCATTACCGAGTACAATGATGGATGGTGGTAAAAAGACTCACATTTATCAGCACTGTGGGTGGGATTCACACCCACGACCCACATTGCTTGACCTAGGATTTCACATGTATTTTTCATGGCTACTGGAGTTGACATCTGAAATATACTGAAGAATTAATGTGGCATTCATGGAGGTTATTATATGAACGTTTACTGGTGTGTGTTCATGTTTATAAATAGTTGCACAGCATCTGAAAGAAGTATTTGTTTATTAACATTTTTGTAATTGTATCAGCTGCAGGATAATGAAGCCATTGAAGAGGGGCTTATGAATATGAGGTCATCTGTTAAGAAAATCACAATTTTATACTCTTAATGTATCATATTATAGCAAGATTTTAACCTAATAAATCAGTAAGAAGCTGTATGTAAGTCCTCCGTTTTCTCAATCTTGTAAATTAGATTGATAGAGACTTGCTTTCTTCTTTAAAGAATTAAAAAAATTGTTGCAGCATGAGAACATTAAAGGCATTTTCACATTGTAGTGTCTTGCCAGAAAACAAAACCATTTAGAATCTACAGAAAGTTCTTGCCTATCCAAGTACTGTATAAAGTATATATATTTCTGGAGTATTCATGATTTTGTGTTTGGCATTGGCTCTGGAAAATTTGTAATTTCTGTCATAGTTACTCTTGCGCTATAAGTTTGTTGATTATACTGTAACAATCAACAAATTCTATTCTGCCAGTCACCCACCATCAGTCACACTTTTTTCACCTGACTTGAGCACTTCATGCATTATCTGCAATGTTAAACTGTTGGGCTTGCCTGGAATATTTACCACTTAACTTTGTCCCATTTCTGCCTGTGTAACTCATAAACTTTGCTAAAGATCTTTGCACTATCATTTCAGGACAAATTGTAAGAGACAGGGTACCAATGCCAGTGACTGCTGCTATTTGTTCGTCTAACTAACAGAGCTGATTTTGGTCAAAATGGTGGCAGTCATCATAGTATCTTAAGTACTCAGTGTTCTGAATTAGAGTAATTCCCTTTCTTGCTTTGCAGCTATAATGGTTATGCCTCCATAATTCAGTTTTCTGGAATTAGGTAGTGATATTTTGCCCACTGCATATTTTGTGGTTATACTGCCATGACTCGTTAAACAGGAGAAAAGTGGAAGGTTCACGTTAGAGCAGGAGAGGTATTTCAGTTTCACTTTATTTTGAATTCCACAGATCCTTTCATGTGACGCATGCCGTAGGATATAGAACATGTCAAAATACATAAAAACAATGGACCCATCAACATGCAATACAGTCAAAATATAGAATTTATACATAAAATATTCAAATATGATCAAATTTATGCAGATATATAATTATCGTTGTCACAATCATAAATTAATACAAAAGACCTATTCATAATATAGAAATTTGATGCAATTATCTCCATCACATGACTACACATATTTAATTTAAGAGTCCAAATATAATACATTTCATCAGGATTTAAAAATTAGAATATATAATAAAAATTCAGTATAAACAATCAGTCATTTCATAGCAAGAACCTTAAAATTTGAATACTATTAACATATTCCTCTACAAGATAAAAGGAAATGAGCTGTAAGTAAACCATTCACATCCATCTTAATTGTTTACTGTCATGTGTAAACATGACTTAACCTTACATCTTTCTGCACCACCCTCTATTGCATAGTTTAATAGAGCCAGACTCTTTGAAGCTATGTCTCTATGCTGTGGAATAGCCTGATAGCATCAGGAAAGCGCCATTATTGAAAACTGTCCTTTATGTCAGCGTATATCACCTGGGCTTCCTATCATTCATATATCACATTGTTATATTGTGAAAGATTACTGAATTAAGCCCAACCAGTCATCTTGATTCAGACAGTAACTGAAGTGTGTGAAATGTTGGAAGTTGCTAGTGTATAACAAACAGGTTGTCCATCTTCAAACCACTGAGGGGACTGGTTATACTTTCAGTACTTGCCCATGGGCCATATTACAGGGGAAAAAAAATTTTTTTTTTTTCTTGCATAGTATATTAACAAAAATATCTGCTACACAGTAATGACATGTATAAAACACACAAGTAAGAATTGGATCCATTGGGTTTAAGAACATTTATTTAAATGTAATATATTGTAATGTTATATATGAAAATTAGCCTTTTTCAAGCCCCCCCCCTCCATTTTGGGGGGGGGGGGGGAAAAACAATGAAACAGCACAGAATGATACTCTTATGTACAGCACAAAACCAACTTTTGGGATCTGTCTGGTTTATAACTTATTTTTCTACTTATGGGGTTCCTTTAGGCCCTTTCATGTTGGGTTATAACTCTTGAGAATTTTCATGAGGCCTGTATACTGTGAGTTAGCCATGTTGTAGAATGGCTAGATATATCTTCAGGCTCGTTTTGTACCACATCTTAATTTGGACAAACTCAAAAGTTATGTGTTTATTGTAAAATGCACTGTAAAGCTTGAAATAATAGTCTTTATTGTTCATGAAAGAATGGTGTTAAGGTATCACTTTTAGCTTGGGTGCAGAGTGTTGGGTTATCTCTGTGTAACTCTTCAATTTATTGTTTTCCCCCCCTGCTTAGTCTCACTAAACTACAATATGAAATGGCAAGATGAAATTTTCATTCCCAGGTTTTTAACCTTTAATGGACGAACTTTTAAATTGCCAGGAGCCCTCTGCGGCCGGTATTTAAATTGCCCTAATTAATCAACATTGCAAACTTCCAGAAAAAAATACATATTTTCCATTCTATGCAACATAGAAATACGAACTAAAAACAACCTGAAAGACAATAAAATTTTCTACATATACACAAAAGAGCAATTTTTACAAACGAAAATTAACTGTGATTATTTTGTCATGAAATGCAAAATATAATCTTTATTATAGATGTTATGAAATTCCAAAGGATTTACCCATTGTTTTTTCTTCAACCTAGAATCATGGTGATATTGTAAATATAATCACACTATTCATTCATCAGTAATCTGTCAGGCAGCAGGTCCACAGTCTCTTCCAAAACAGTTCCTCCACCTAATGCGATCTAGAGCTTTCTCCTTCAAATGAGAATATCCTCTTCTGTCCCCAAGGTCATCCAGCATCTTCTTACGTCTTCTTTCTCGTCCTCTGGTCACTTCTGTCCGCCCCTCTATCTTTCCTTCAATAACTTCTTTTAGAAGGCAGTTACTGCGTAAGATATGACCAATCCAATTAGTCTTCCATTTTCTTATTTCATGTAGGATATTCCTCTGCTCACTGACTCTAAATAACACTTCTTCACTTCTTACATAATCGGTCCAACTGATCTTCTCCATCCTTCTCCGACACCACATTTCGAAGCGTTTCAGGTGTTTCTGATCTGCTGCCCTAAGTGTCCAAGTTTCAGCCCCATACAAAGCCATACTCCAAACATAACATTTCACTAGTTTCTTTCTCAAATTTAAGTCCAATTTGCTGATAAAAAGGATCTTCTTCTTGCTAAATGCAGCTTTTGCCATGGCAATCCTAGATTTAATTTCAGAGGTACACCTTCCATCTGTTAACAAGCTACCCAAATATTTAAAACATTTCACATTCTCCAGTTGTTTTTGGTCTATCTTTATTGTGACTGGGGTTGGTTGTCTCAAAATTTTCATTACTTTTGTTTTTTCCGCATTCATTTCCATGCCATAGCACCTTCCAATTTTGATTAGTCTATCAATCATACCCTGTAGCACAGTTTCTTCCTTAGCCATTAACACAAGGTCATCTGCATATTTCACAGTCTGAATAATTTGCCCTCCTACTTTGAAGTCTCCGAGCCCATCCAGAGCTTCCTTGGTAAGGCATTCGCCGTACAAGTTGAACAGAATTGGTGATAAACAGCATCCTTGTCGAACTCCTCTTCCAGTCTGCACACTTCCTGTCTCCCCTCTGTCCAGTCGTACTCTAACTTTCTGATCCATGTACAATTTACAAATCAATCTTCTTTCACGCCCATCGATACCTGTTTCTTTTAGGATCTGCATTAATTTGGTCCAGTTTACCCGGTCAAATGCCTTCTTCCAGTCTATGAA